CCAATGGTCGCTACATCTACTGGCATGGGGTTGAAAAGCCAGTAGAAAAATTCCATTTGTTATTTCTACCCCTGGGAGAAAAAAAATGGGTGGCCATTTAACTCAAAACAATTTTTTTTTAATCTCCTTCTGTAAGAATTGCCAGTAACAATACCAGACAGAAGTCAAGGGTCTCAATGTACTTAAAGCCAAAACAGAGTTGGGATTCTGTCCCAAATACTTGGGAAGACATGATCTCTTGGAAAATAGCATTTGGGCTGCCGGTGAGGGGCAACATGAGCAAGAGACCAGAAAGGAGCCAGAGCAAGTTTGTACGGGAAGGAACTCAGCATTTCAATATACGTTTTGTTAGATTTCAGTCTGTCGGTTTTACCTTCAACAAATCACAAGAACCAAAGAAAAGAAACACATTACTGACACGAGGTGGGTTTGGAAAGATACTCTGTCTTTATCTCCCAAAAACACTCCCACAAGTAAGCAGTCACCAAATCAGCCTAAATCAGAGCAAAGGGGGGTTGACCCTGGTTCCCAGCATCAGTAAAATGTTGCAAAAGTTATAGTTATCCTAGTCTAGGCTGGAGTCAGTACATGAAAAAAAAATTTAGGGATTTGGGATGTAGCTCAGTGGTAGGGTGCTTGGCTGGAATGAGCAAGGTCCTGGGTTTAATCCCCAGTACCACAAGCCCACACAGAACAAGCTTACATAAAGCTTCTTTAAAAAGTAATTCCAAAACCAGGTGTGGTGGCACACACCTTTAATCCCATCACTCAAGAGGCAGAGGCAGACAGATCTCTGTGAGACAGAGGCCAGCCTGGTCTACATAAAGAGTTTCAGGCCAGCTGTGGCTACTAAGAGACCCTGTGTCAAAATAAATAATAACAGTAATAGTAATAATAGTAATAATAATTCCAGGAGTCACAGAAGGATGATGAACTAGTGTTGGATCAATAGCTCCATTTCCAGGAATGATTACAGTACAGACAGTTCTCTGAAGACTTCCTGACACGTCTGGATGTCTTCAGTTGACGGTTCTAACAGAAAGAGGATAAGACTCCCATGACCTTGACTGGCAGAAGGTGACAGATCAATACTTTTGCAAGCCATTTCAAACTATAAGTACATTTTTTTATTGACAGAACTAATCTTGGTTCATGAATTTGTGATCATTCACACACAAGGAACACCTGAAAACTCGTGAGACACGGCAGATAGGGTTCATTACATACATGTTTCCAGTGAAAACAAAGGAAAGCCAGTGAAGGCTCGTTGGGAAGCCAGTGTTTAATTAGTGTCCTGTACATGATCGATGAGCATCGGAAACAGCAGGAAAACTTCTGGAGACTCGGCCCTGTGAATAAATATTCACTTTTACTGTTGGTTCCTGGCGCCATAGTATGACATGGTTCGATTTCCAGCAAAAGGAAGACGGTTTCCTCAGCTTTTGAGACCTGTGTTGTATCCACTCCCCAACTCTCTTGTCTTCAGACCAACACATACAATGAGGCTCCCTATTAATTATTGTTATGATTCTCATCTTGATTTCCATCTCTTGAGCAAGAGCCAGCACAAGTTAGCCTGAGGTTTCCAAGCCATTATCCAGACAGTAATAACATTCTCATTTGACCAGAAAGCACTAGAAAAACACTCCCTTCTTTCTTTATCCCAAACCCAAATGAAATAGTAAGAGACAGTACTGCTACGTTCAAGAGACACTATGTAAAGCACCCTTCAGATGCTAGATGCTATGGTATGCATATGTAATCCCAGCACTCAACAGGAATGTTGTCACATAAATGGGGCCACAATAGCGAGGTGCTTTATTATCTGACTGAGGTCCCCATCTTTCAAGAAAAAGGACATGCTGGCTTAAAGACCTGCATCCTTGTTACAGTGAGACTATAGCCAGTCCAGCTACTGTAGAATTCAGTACGAAGGTTCCACAACAGACTAAAAGTAGCTCTACCATATGACCCAGCTATACCACTCTTGGGTATTTACCAAAAAGACTGCAAGTGAACCTATCACAGAGATGTTTGCACATAGATGTTTATTGCAACACTGTTCACAATAGTTGTGGAACCAACCCAAGTGTCCAACAACAGAGGAGTGCAGAAAGAAAACGTGGAATGTACGCAATGGAAATTTTCAGTCATAAAGGAGAATGAAATTATGTCATTTACAGGAAAATGGGTGCAACTAGAGATAATCATATTAAGTGAATTAAGTCAGTCTCAAAAAGACAAATATTGTATGTTTTTCTCACTTGTGGGTCCTAGGTTTCATGTAGATACATAAAATCATATATGTACAGATGGCATTAAAGTGGGAATGAAACTGTCTGGAGAATTAAGGAGATTGGGAAGAATGGAGGGGGAAGGGCAGCACGTACGGGGGGCTGTGCTCAAAGCACAACATATACTTGCCTGCAAGTGGCCTTATTAACCCGGTATAGTAACATAAAACAGAGCTGCTAAGGGCACAGGGATAAAAGACAGAGAGCCCTGTCTGCCAGTGGACCTTTTTATCATTAGCATAACAAATAATCTGAAGAATTACAAGATATTAAATCATGGGAGAGAACTGAGTGTACTGTCTCCTCCCCCCAAAGTTTAGAATTATTCATACAGACTTACGTTCTTCACATTATTTCTAAAATAACCTCCCTATGTAATTGTAAAACTAGTATATTCTCAAGCTAGATGCTGTGGTGCACATGTGTAATCCCAGCACTCAGTAAAGCTGAAGCAGGAGGATCTTGCGTTCAAGGCCAGCCTAGGCTACCTAGACAGTTCTAGGCCTAATGGGCTACATAGTGAGACTGTCTCAAAACACCAAAACAATACAAAGCAAGATGTTATGTTCTCATCACAAAAACAAAATCGGAAATATATCAACGTACCATAAAAACAAATAAGATACTATCACAGCCCTCTTACTCAAACAGAAGCTCAGGTTTATGAACATTGTTCCGCGGCTTGTCCGTTCTGTGTTTCTCCCCATGCTACGTGAAAGGTGTTAGGATGTGCACACCCACACTTCCCCACAGTTAACCGAATCCAAGCTGCATTGAGAATGTCCTAGCATCTTAGTTACTGACTGGCACACTGATCACTTATAAGCACAATCATTCTCTTCCAGTTTTATCCGCCTGCATTTGCTCACAAGTCTAGTCACAGGAAAACTCCCCTTAATTTCCAAAGACTTTGTCCTATGTCTCAATTTTTTCATGTTGGAAAGGATTCAATAGCTGTTCGCTTTCTGATTCTGATAAAAAGGGCATAAAACATGATTTCTGGAATCATAGAGAAGGGAATAAAGAATGCCAAGCTTGATCTCTTGAAGTTTTCTTTCTAAATGAAAGCAGATTTTTAAATACTCACTAATCATTTCTCTGTTAAACTCAACACCCAGCAGATTTGTCACAAATACTATTTAAAGTGTAAAATGGGGTTACAGAGACACAGCTTAGTTGGAAAAGTTCTTGCCTTTCAAGCACAAAGACTTGAGTTCAATCCCTAGAACCCAGGTTAAATAAAGAGGTATGGTAGAGTTCTCTTAGCCCCACAGCTCAGGAAGCAGAGACCAGAGATGGGTGGATCCTTGGGGCTTGTGGGCCAGCCAGCCCCTTGGTGAGTGCCAAGTCAGTGAGAAACCTGTCTCAATAAAAAGAAAAAGGTGGATGACACCTGAAGGATGATGCCTGAGGTTGTCCTCCAGCTCTCACACACATACACACACACACACACACACACACACACACATAGACACACACATATATGCATGCATACACAGACACACACAGATACACACATACATACAAATACACACATGCACATAGACACATGCACACACACATTACACACACACAGACATACACACATACATATTCGCACATGAACACACACAAACATACACACACATGGTGACATTTATGCTTTGTGTATTTTACCACAATTTTAAAAGAAACAAAAAAAGTTACAAGATGCTCTTTTTCAACCCCTGAACTATATAATCTTTTCTGCCTAAATATTCTAGGATTAAACAAATTCCCTGGAACTAAAACACTTCTAAAACGATGTACAAAAATTTCCAATAATAAAATTGTTCTTCTGACAAACTCCCCTTTGAATACTGTGAACCTAACTAATATCCTGTTGCTGTTTTCCCCTCCCCCATAGTTTGAGGTCCAGTCCAAGTGTTTAGTTAGGAGTTTGCCAGTATACAGCAGTGGGCAGGCTGACTGCCTGGGGGAAATTTAAAAAGCAATTAAAAGAGCAGAGAGATGGCCAACCTTACTGGTCAATCTCTTCTTTAAGTTATAAGTGAGAAAAAGTACAATCAGATGCCACTTAAGAATTAACACGGGTCTGATTCTATTCACCTATTTCAAATGTACAACACATCCATGGAGCTCTTGTTTGATTTTACCTCTAATTCTTTTATTCAAACCCTGCATTCACAATTGCTTGATATGATATTTTGCTATTGGCAGCACACTTTACCACTTAAGGCACATTCTTTACCCACACTGAGGCTGAAAGCAAATCTTTTCCACAAGATTTGGGGAGATTTTGCATGCTTCCTTTGCTCCCCAGTTTCCATTGTAGTGATAAGAAGCCAACTAGATTCCTTTTCAGTGTGGTCAGGGCCAGCTACTCACTTCCATGTCACGATGAATCGGTTACTCACCCAGGACCTTCCTACTCACATTGTCTTTAGCCGGCGAACTTTTTGTGCCACTTCCAACAAAGGATTTCATTGCTTTAGGAGCTGAGGTGTGTCTCAGTTTTTACCTGAGAAACAGTGATGCAAGCGTTTCTGGTAAGACCAATCCTTGGCTTGGGGTGGGAAGGAACCACCTAACAGGCCACCAGCAGAGTCCTGGGGCAGACGGCAGAGGCACTCCTTCAGGAAGGGTACTCTCCCCACCGGACGCAGTCGCCTGGGAGCAGAGCTGCAGCAAACTGCTTGGGTTTGTTCCCCAGAGACATCAGACACTATGACCTGGCTTCGCGTTGGAGCCCCAAGAGCTCTGGCCATCTTCATGGTAAGTCCCATCTTTTGCTCACACTACCAAATCCCCCTATTTCCTTCCTTGATCTAGATTATGCTGGCTTGCCAAACCCCTGTTATAAATTCTAAAAAGAACACCACAGAACTAAACATAAAATTATGAAGATTCCAAATTGCTTCCTTCTTTGTTTGCTTCACATAAAGTTGTATTTTGAAAAAAAGGAAAGCAATAAGAAATCGGATTTAAAGTAGCTGCTTTGTATGTCTTTAGTGAATAAATGAAGCCATCTTAACCTTAGATTATTGTATTTTCCACAACACCTTTATTTTCTTCAAAGCAATGAATTTTTCTAATACATGAACAAAAACACACAAGACACAACTACTTCTGTTTTCCAAGATTACACAGCTCTTATTAAGCATGTGGCTAAGCACTATACATGCCTGATCTTGATACCTGGCATATTTTGAGACTAGTCACCAACCGCTGAAGTAAAATCAAAGCAACTTTGACTGAAGACAAGTTGGGAGGATTATTAAGAAAACCGGTTTTTTGTTTAGCCATTATGTGCAAAATATACCCCCAAGCCTCGGGGGAGGGGGATACAAAATTTGATGGGAGAATGTTTTCAGAGGAATAATACTTCGTGGATTGGGAAAGTTTTATACAGTGTTTTCTAAAAGACAAGTAGAATCTACAGAGAAAATGTTAGCCTAGATATTACAGACTACTTTATACCTTAATTTGCTCATATTAGTGAGGTGAAAATAGGTCATAATTATATCCCTTACCTGAAGATATCCAAAGACTTAAATAAGAAAAATCACTAATGCAATCCCCACATTGTCAATAATAAACTTGGCCTGATGAGCATCTGTTCACAACAGCGCCTTCCAGAAGTTACAGGGAGACTGATGTTGAGAACTTTCTAAAATTAAAGTTATCTAATGTCACAATAAGATGGCTTGTGTGGAGAATGTCTCAAGCATCATCTCCTCCCAAGATTCAGCTGCATGACAGTGCAACCACATTGGTTATCTGGTGGATCTAGCTGACCCAAGAATGTTGTAAAGAGAAACATGAGAGTTGAATTACTTTCCCGTCTTCCCAAATGGGAAACTTCTGGACTAAACTACAGGAAGCCTGTAATCCAACACTAGAAGTGTCAGAATGTTATAAGGATGTAGAATTGGACCACTGTGGCTCAGTCAAGCTTTGAGTTATAGAGCATTCTCAGTGTCCCCCAGAACTACCGCAACCAACCTTCTTATGCTGAGGCTGCTTTTCATCTGTGAGGTCTTTTGAATTGTGGACACACAGATTTTTAAAGAATGAATAAATCATTGAATGAAGGTGCTTTTAAACCATAAAACCTGCAGTTCACTATCATGCTAATCATGATGGGGAAAGCAGACTGTGTACACATTTCCTACACTCGACTCAAGAAAGCTTTGAATGCACAGAGAGAGAAAGAGAGAGAGAGAGAGAAAGAGAGGGGGGGAGAGAGAGAGAGAGAGAAAGAGAGAGGGGGAGAGAGAGAGAGAGAAAGAGAGAGAGAGATGAGTTACTTAAATACTATAACAAAACATCCTAATAAAGGTCTAGATCTGACCCGTCCAATATGGTAGTCACCATACACGGATATTCATCATTCCAAATAGAGTTGTTCTGAAATACACTGTGACGTGTAAAATACACAGCATAATTTGAAAAAATATATCATTAGTTTATAAGTTGATTATGTGTTGAAATTATAGTATCTCTAGCAGATAGAATTAAATATATTTCTAAAGTTAACTTGAACTTTTAAGCAAATCTTTTAATGTGACCACCAGAAACTTAAAATGTGTATTTGTGCTTCTCACTAAGTTACACTCTAAATCCTATCAACGAAAGGCAGTGTTGGAACAAGGTAAGTATAATAAGGCCCAGTGGATTCAGTGATATTTGATATCTGCTAGGTAGAGATGGGCCCAAGGGAGTTACGCTCAGTTGTCAGACAAACACAAGCAAAGACAGGCAGTTATAGCTTTTGCCTGGAGCTGTAGACCCACCGGTTTGACTGGAATGGAACTTTGTGTCGGAGAATGAGGACATGAATTGGAAAGACAGGGAGCGTGACATTGAAAAGTGTGTTCTGTGAGGGCAGATGAAATCCTTTTAGAAATGGGAGCCACCCAGAGTTTCGAAGTGCTGTGGTTATGGCGGGGGGGGGGGGGGGGGGGGGGTAGCAGTGTTCTCAGAGCACGTGCATCATTTGTTGTTGAAGGTGGGATCTGAAAGTAGAAAGACATGTCTGGAGGTTTGTAAGCAACTCTTCCATCCAACCGCTGTGCAAACTCATTGATGGCCCCCTTTACAGTGAGATATAACAGAAAGACCTGGGCATGAGTGTAGAGCTGTCCACTGACTCATTGCTTGAGACCTTAACTGTCAAGTAAGAATCATCTCAGCCCAGCCCGATAGTGATCACTGAAATATTTAGTAAGAGTGATGATCCTTGGTGACTTCTCAGTATTGTGTTTTACTGTTTTAAATAGCCACCAACATTAGTTTTAATAAGTCAAGGAAGTCTCAAAATGATCCTTGAATTAGAGTCTGTCAAGAATAGCTCTATGTGGCTGGGGAGATGGCTCAGCAGGTAAGAGAGCTTGCTGCACAAGCATGGGACTCAACTCCCAACACCCACATAAAAAGTCAAGCATGGCAATGAGTGTGCCTTGGAACTCCAGTACAGTGAGGGTGGAGACAGAAGGATTGCTGGGGCTTGCTGGACACCAGCCTAGCATCAGCCTCAATGAGAGACCCTGTCTCAAGGGAATAAAATGAAGAGTGACAGAGAAGGACACACAACATTCTCCTCTGCTGTCCACAAATGCACAGAGGCACACACACGTGAATGTGTGCCACACACATATGCTGCTCACATGCACAGACACAGAGAAAGAGAGGGGGAGAGAGAGAGATTGGAAAAGAACAGTTGTGAAACTAGCGTTTTGAAAAATACAAGAAAAGATAAAAGTCATGCTTTTAATGACTCTGATGGTAGGAATGAGAAAATGATGCTTTCAAATAGAGATTTACTAAAACCTCTCAGCTCTTTGGGCTTCTAGGTTAATTATTTGGACGGGGAAGTCACAGAGAGCACCTCATTTTTTTGAAGGGTCATATTTGAAAGTTTCGTATGTTTGATATATTTCACATAATCCAAAATATACATCTTTAGGGGAAAAAATGTGGTTAAAGGCGCCCACCTACCTTCACAGATTTACCTTTTGAAAATAATTGTCTTCAAACAAAACTATTGTTCAGTGTTTTAAGTTAACAAAATCCAAAGCACATTTTATCACTTAACACTCTGTAGGCATTTGGATAATGAACTATTTGATTTCATGTTACGATGCTATATAAAACTTTACTCATGAAGCTACCTGAGATGCCCGAAAGTCAAATATTTTAATACAGTTTTTTATGTTGTTGGTGGCACTGGAAAAAAAAAAAACAGTAGTTAAAATATTAAGCGGTGAACAGAATGTGCTTTAAAAGTAGCAGACTCATCGTCAGCCACCTTTTTTATAGAACATCCAAGTAAAGCTGTTTGCAAAGGACTTTAAGCTAAATGACCCATTTCAACGAAAGGAAAACTTCTGAGGTATCTTTCTCATCCTTGATTAATGAAACATTTGTTTCCAGTGTTAACAAATACATGAAGAGAAGTTTTCCTTCTGAACCTCTCCCTAAGTCAAGTATTCCAAAGTCAGAATAACCATGCTAGGGGATACTGCCCAACACTGCCTGATTTGGCACCAGTCCGAAGAGATGCAATCATTTCTATCAATGAGCCCTCCTCTTTGCTTAATCTGAAACCAGTTTTCATCTCTAACTAGAATACTCGGTGTCCATGAGGTTTCTCGTAAACCTCTCAGCCTTTGGTCCTTCTTTCCAGTAAAATGTCAATCCCATAGCCCAAGGCTAGGACTTGCTTTGGGAGGTGGCTCATGAGGAAATTACACAGATGATGGGTTATCCATAATTACATGATGAATAATTGAATCTACCTATTGCACACTTCTTTCTCCTACAAGACTGCTGTGCGGCTGGCCAGGCAGTGTATTGCACAACTCCAGTGGGTGTGTTCACACAACCTGCAGAGTGAGCGGTGCCCCCTGGAGATGCGCACAAAGCAGCCTACACGGGTACAGTGCAGCACTGTTTCTTGTCCAAGAGAGAAAGAAGTCATATGTACACGATAATAACAAGAAGTCACTTCTATTAGTCAAACGCTCTCTGATACCCTTTCCTTGGGTTGTTATTCAACAGCAGAAATGGCTGGCAAGTTATCAAGCAGTTGCTATGGACTTGGGATCACCTATGTGTTTTACATCTATCAATTTGTTCAATGCTCACAATAAACCTGGATGCAAGATAAATAGGATCATGATCCCTCTGTGACCGATGAGGAAACGGGAGGACTGCGTTATGTTCCCACGTCATACAGTGGTACAAGGTGGGGACTAGGATTTAAATCAGGATCCGGACACTAGGGAGATGGGTCAGTGGGAAAATTTGCCGAAAAAGTAGGAAGACCTAAGTCGAGATTCCCAGAACCCATGTGAAGCCAGATGCAGTGGCACACATCTGTATTCACAGCACTCCTATGTGGAGATTCAGAGTTCAGAGACAGGCGAATCCAAGGAAGCTTGAAGGCCAGCTGGCCAGGGACACTCAGCAGCACACAACAGACTGCCTCAGCATGGTGGGTACTGGAAACCAACACCTGAGGTTGTACTCTATCCTCCCCACCTGTTCACTAACCTCCACATACATGTCATGGCACACACACACACACACACACACACACACACACACACACACACATATTGAGAGAGAGAAATTAAAAATAAATTAAGATTCAGAGTTCAGTTTTGCATCACCACATTTAACAACATCCTGTACAGCATTCAAAAGGAACATTCACAAACACCAGGGCACTGTTTTGGGGGGGCATCACAAGATGCAAAGGTTAACTTTATAAATTAATTTAGTTTCACATCAATCCTTGAAAATTAATCATCTGAAATTAAATACTAATTTCCAAGTAATTATATTTTTTATCCAATTAAAGAATTTACCCTCATGAATACAAAGTTTATCAGTTTGTTTTGTGACTTACAACGGCTTGACTTACGAACTTTCTACTTCACGGTGGTGATAATAACGTGTTTTCATTTTCAGCATAGAACCCAATGAATCACAAGAGGCATTCAATGCTTGATTATAAAATGGGCTTTGTATTCGATGATTCCCCAGCTGTAGATTGAAATAGGTGTTCTGAGGACTGCAGGCTAAACTGTGAGGTTTATAAAGTTGACGGCATTCAATGTGTGTTCCCCTTAGCGTTTTTACCATACAGTAGGATTATTGGGTCATTATCCCATCAGAAGTAGAGGACTTTTCATATGAATTGGGAAAGATGTCACTCATTTTTCTGAATTTTGCATTGTGTGATTCACTTATCAAATGTGTCTTGAAGGATCTCTGTGATCTGACATTTGCAATGACTATATCACATCAGTTGATCAATTACAGAAGTAAAACCAACAGCTTATATATGCATTGCATGGCATTGCTTCCAAAAAATGATGTCTAAAACTGGTAACAATTCCTTCAAATTACCTAATCTATACTAAGAGTTCCCAGAAGGGAGTGTGATGGACTCTTAGAGCCCTTCTAGAAAAGGGAAGTGTGCTGGGTAAGTTTTCTCATAGCTGGGACAAAGGACCTGACAGAACCTCTTAAGGGCAGAAAGCTTTATTTTGACTCATGGTTTCAGTCCATTATGCTGGGGAGGGTGTGATGGCAAATCCACGTCAGGAGGATCTCACATCAATAGCTGCTCACACGGGAAGCAGAAAGGGCTGACTGAAAGTAGACGTTATAACTGCTAAGGCTTACCTTCCTGACCTGGTTCTCCAGTCAGCTCCCAGAACTGCCTTCAAAAGTACTGTACAGCTGTGGTTATATTTATAAACAGCCAAAGAGAACTTCAGTATTCAGAAATGGTTCTTACCACGTTCTTCATACTTCAAGAAAAAAACCAAAAAGCATCTTTCACAACACTGAAATGAAGGGACATTCTTCATGGTCAGTCTTTTAAAAAGAAAAGAGTTCACGATTTAGGGTGACTAACTCCTCTATGGACTCTGCTTCTGGGACACCACTAGAAATAAAAAGCCACAGTCTGGACTGTTAATTCTCCATCGATTAGGGATGACCTTCCCGGGAAGATAGAAATTGAGCTTCAGTGCCTAAATTAGAAGAATCATCCTCCACGGAGCTACTGCAGACATGACTCATAATCTCTGGATGACGCCTGGTTTCCTGTAAAAAGGTGCACACCTGGCCTCTCCCTCTCCTCACATCCCTCTCTCCTCACATGCCGCTCAGTCTTTCCTCCTGTGAACTAAAAAAAAGTGTCATCCAGTGACTACACTGCTACAGGTTCTTCTCCCCAGTAACTCTTGATACGTTCCAGAGAGAGCAAGGTATATTGGATCATCATTTTGAGATGTGCTGTAATGGCTCCTTTTCATGACAGTTTGAACACATCAGTGGGTGATCTTTAAAACCAGAATTTCAACTGAAATGTTTACCATTGGGGTGGGGGGGGTCCAAAAACCTATGTCTGATATAATTGCTCATTTGGTTCAGACTTGGACTTGCCTTTTCATTATAACCTTTGAAAATAAATGATTTCATAACTCTATATTGTTTCAGGATCAACCACAGCCTTTGGCCAGATAATAATCTAAATTGACTGTCATATAACTTTCTTCTGTGTTCTTACGTTAGCTCGGATTAGGATCTAGTGTCATGGTAGTACACACACCCTGGAGATAAAGTTGCTAAGTTCAAATTGTAGCTCTTCCAGGGACTAAATGTTCATACTCTGTACCTCTATGCCTACATTCATAAAATAGAGATTCTAAACGGAATCTTCTTCAGACGACTGCAGTAAAAATAGACATTAATAAGCATGACATTCCATGAACAAAAACCAAACAAATCACATATTAACTTAACCTACTGTTATCACTCTTCTAATTTTACCTGGAATTTATTTACCATGATCATTTCCTACCCATTTATCTTCAGATCACATAATGAGTGGCTCAGCAAATAGCTGTTTTTAAACACCTCCAGAGTAGGGAAAAAATAACAGCATAAGCTTTGGAAAGCTTACAGTTATCTTGGCTTAGAAGATGAATTCTTTAATGCACATAAAGCACATAAAACAATAAGAAATAGAAACTACCCTAGGATAAATTGCATTGTAGAGAATGGGAGCTGTATGCACTGAGAAAAGGAGGCATTTGTAAAGATAGCTTCACGAAGCCTGTTGGTACTTGAATGGATGAATCACTCATAGGTGGGTACCAAGGGAAGAGGAATGCATTCCAGGTGGAAAGCTGCACAGAAAGCTGGGGGTTGAGAGAGTGAAGGTCCTGGCCTGTCTGACTTCCCGTACCCTCATTTAACTCTTTATATCAGTAGTATAAAAACAAAGTTCAATATTTAAATTGCCCGAAGACAGAAAAAGAAGATCCACGCCCCTCAGCAAACAGCTCTTGTGACTGGAAGAGTATAACCCCACATTTTATAAAAAATGTTCCACTTTTAAACCCGATTTTGTTCCGTTCTGATCTCTTTGCTCTTGGAGAGATTTGAAAAAGAAGGGGAAGGGGGAGAAAAAGAAAAGAAACCTGTTCTATAATTGCAGCTAACTCAGGCTTGTTTCTGTACACGCTCACAGGACAGATAAGTGTTTTGATTTGTGAGTTTGGGGTTTGTTGTTGCTGTTGCTTTGGGTTTTTTGTTTGTTTTCCAGTTTGTCCAGACAAAGTTTTGCTGTGTTGCCCTGGCTGTCCTCCAACTCTCAGCAATCCTCCTGCCTCTGCCTCCCACATGCTAGGATCATGGGCATGCACGAACATGCCCAGCATGATAGTTCTTACAATCCCCTGTGGCCACTTTCTGAAGTTTATCACAGTAAGATTTCCTAAAGCAATGGCTCCCATAGCTTCTGGGAGATGTTACACCATGAGAGAAACAGCCAGCTGGCTGAAAGGGTAGCTTTATAGAGTCAAGGACTCCTCCTCCTCCTCCTCCATCTCCTTCTCCTCCCCTTCATCCTGCTCATTCTCATTTGGGGGAGGGGGGTTGGTTGTTTGTCTTTTATTTGGAGACAGGGTCTCACTCTGTAGCCCAGGCTGACCTGAACTTATTCTGTAACCCAGGCTGGCCTCAAATGAGTGGTAATCTTGCTGCCTCAGTCTCCAGATACTGGTGGTTTATGTGTTGATTGTTTGTTTTTTGTATAAAAATATGAAGTCAGATTTAAGAACTGGAGGGATTTATTTATACTGCTTGAGTATCTCTTTTGCTGATAAGATTTTTTTTTTTCTTTTTTTTGTGGTCTTTTTGAGACAGGGTCTCCCTGTAGCCCCAGCTGTCCTGGAACTCACTATGTAGACCATGCTGGCCTTGAACTCACTGATAAGATTTTACATTTGATCTGCTCCTTTAAACTTACTTCTTTTAAAATAGAAACAAATTAAAACTGTACAATTTAGACAATGTATTGCTCAGGATTACTAGAAATTACATGTAACTGTTCTGTTTAAATGTCTGCAGATGGTCCTGCTGGTTTATGGAGAACTGCAGATAGAGGTAAAGTATACAAAACATTTTTGTAATTAAAATAAGAGTTTACTTTTAAAACTTCAAATTGGATTGAAAAAAATCTAATGTTTAAATTATGAAAATATATAAAATTAAATTTCTAGAAACTAACCCAAAAACATTTAGGAAAAAAAGTCATCAACCAATATTATTATACATTTTTGTTTGTTTTATTTTACTTTCTGTTGGGCTTTGTGTTGATTAGTTGATTTCGTTCTTGGTTTTGTTTTGAGATGGGATAGGGTTTTCTATGTAGCCCTGGCTAACCTGGTACTCACTATGTAGACCAGGCTAGACTTGAACTTGTGGCAATCTTCCTACCTCAGCTTTACTAGTGCTGAGATTACAAACATGCACTAGTATACCTAGTTTCTTTCTTCTTATCTTAAACAAATCAGCTGGTGAAATCCTAAGTGTCCAAAACAGTTAGATATTATAGACCATATGGAGGAAATTTTAAATGTGGTTAAATGCTGACATTAAAACACATGCAACTTTGCAATGACCTTATTTAATGTTCCTTTCTTGAAAAAGTATCAGGTAGAGCAAATGGTGATCAACCTTGTAACAAAAAAGTTCCTCAGCTTAAGCATTACCTATAATCACTATTTGAAGCAAAAGCTACAAATATTGTACATAATAAAATGGAATCTCTTTAACACAGTCAAAGGGACAGCACAGAGGTGAGGCCGCCGGACAGCAGGTCAGGAGAAGACAGAAGCGGGAATGGGTGAAATTTGCAAAGCCCTGCCGGGAAGGAGAAGACAATTCGAAAAGAAACCCAATTGCCAAAGTAAGTCACATTGTTAGAAGCAGCATGAAGTTTTAGAATAAATAAATTACACGCAAATTAAAAATAATATAGCAATTCCAGTAGCAAAATGCGGACCGGAAGGTCCACAGAACAAACCACAGTCTCCAACAAAAGTAAGGTATACCAGCCATGCTGACAAAATTAAGCTAAAAGAGGGAGGAATGACATCTCTTGCATTATAAAATGGGGTTCAGGAACATATGACCCATTTAATATATAAGCTTCGGTAGATCCAACTGTAATAAACAAGGTGAAAAAATAGAGAACAATTGGAAAAATGGTTGTGAGTGAACTTTGACCAGGACATTTATAGATGATGACAGGCTGGATGACAAGATGCATCACATACATTATACTGTTCTAACTTTGTGTATGGAAATACCCTCCATTAAACAGCCTTAAAATTATAGAAATAAAACCAATTCATTTTCACACATACTTTGAACACCTGTTATCTTAAGTGCTCCCTTTATCCTTCATTACCATCTCTTCCAACCTAAGGAAATGTCCTTTGAAAACGTTGAGTAAGGAGGAAGCATCTAGAAGTAGCCAGCCTATCACTGCTGAGAGACCTTCATTATCTCACATTTTAGCATTCCCTCCATGGCACCACAATCCAAACAAGTGAGGTAAAGCCAAAAAGGCTCATCCTTATCGGTCGATGTTGCCGAGCCACTAGACTTTGTTTCCCACTCCTACTATCTAACACGGTATGCAGGCCACAACACAGTGAACAGAGGACTTCAGTCTCTGGGGGTGGGTAGGGCAGTGGGGAGAAAAGCCTACTCAATGATCACTTTGACATGCAGGGTAATTTTGGTTGCAGATCACGTCAGATTTCCAAGCAACACAAAAAGTTACCTATCGCATTTCTGGAGTGGGAATTGATCAGCCTCCCTTTGGAATCTTCGTTGTTGACCAAAACACTGGTGATATTAACATAACAGCCATAGTTGATCGCGAGAAAACCCCAAGCTTCCTGGTAAGTTTGTGTCATCAACACCTTTCTCCCTGTCACTTTGTGGAGTTGGAAGGTGGGTCTTCTACCCGTGAGTTTGAAAGAGAAAGGAATACATGGATTACCTTAATGTTCACCAACAAGCATTATTATTCCCCCTACAAAGAGCCTCTACCTGTACTTTGTGAACCTGAAGGAAAACACTGGAAGAGTGCCCACAGAGGGCTGGGATTCAGCGCATGGCTGGTCAGAGCATCATCCTGCCATAAATGCTGCAGTTTGAAGGAAGGGGCAACCGTATAATATGCAAACTAAGTATGCGGGGTAATAACGAGCATTATCCTTCTGTTTCTAGATCACGTGCCGAGCTGTAAATGCCCTGGGGCAAGATGTAGAGAGACCACTTATACTAACAGTCAAAATTTTAGACATTAATGATAACCCTCCAGTATTTTCACAAAAGATATTTGAGGGTGAAATTGAAGAAAACAGTGCTTCAAGTAAGTCTTCTACAGCACCCACTGCTTCCAACCCATGGATTCTTTCAAATACAAGCATTATATCACTTTTATCAATTATTCTAGTCATTTTCTCAACAGTTTTACAAAAAAATTATTAAGATAGTCTGAGATTGCCTTTCTAAAATATATAGCTGAACTATCAACAAGTATCCATTGTAGTTATATTACTAGATTATAGTCCAGTTACCAAGTAAGTAGCATCTTATGCTAGATATACAAGCTATGACAGGACAGTACCAGTCACAAGGTTCATCTTAGGTAGCCTGGATGCACGGCATTGTAAGAGACACAGATATCACATTGCTTGGATCGTTAGGAAAAGGAAACATAGGAACATCTATCAGGGGAAGAAATCAAGACAGAAAACAGCTTCAACCTCAACAAAGCCAAGGCTGAGGGAGAGCTGGGGGATTTTTCTGGATGGCAACAAGTTCTACCTAGTTGAAAGACATAAAAGACTTTGGGGGGACACACACAGGTAGTTTTAAGATTTTTTTTTTTTAGCGAATAAGAATCACTGTAAAACTACTGAGTATTTAGTGTGACTATAATTCTGGGCTTCACATGGTCTCTGTGTTTTCCATATCCCTAGACTCACTGGTGATGATCCTGAATGCCACAGATGCAGATGAACCAAACCACTTGAACTCCAAAATTGCCTACAAAATCGTCTCCCAAGAACCTGCAGGCATGCCCATTTTCCTTATAAGCAGAAACACAGGGGAAGTCCGCACTTTGACCAATACTCTTGATCGAGAGGTAATATAAGTCCCTTAGAAGCATCAAAAACTAAGTAAGGGTTTGATATCAAGCAACCCAAGAGGGGTGTCTCTGTGTCACCTGAGAATAAAGAAACAAAGGGAAAGAGGCTGCTAGCCCTTACCTGGGCCCATCTAGGGAAAATTTTCTTCTTGAGTGTGATTCTGCTGGGGTGGGATGTGGACTCCAGACCTGCACAACCAATCATACCATTACATACCAATGGAAGTTCAAATGGGAAAAATCAAGGACGATGTTGGTGTATGTAAACAAAGATTGCACTCTGATTCCTAAAGAATGGAAGAAGATTCTTAGACAAAGAAAGAAATTCCTATCTGGCATAAAACTTTATTTGATGTCATACTTTTTCTCCATAGATCTCTTTATAATCTTACTTCTGCTTGCAAAGTACCAAAGAAGCCCTTTCCTTCTCTTCTCACCAATCTCCACCATGTCTCTCCACCTGCACAGGCTACTAAGATCCATATGGCTTTTAAGACTGGAGAGGTGGCTCAGTGGTTAAGAACACTTGCTGCTCTTACAGAGGACCCAGGCTCAATTCCCATATTATCTTTAAACAAATGGTTTTCCCAATAGACTACAGGGGAACTCCACAAGCAAGCATCCCTCAGATAATCACACACTCCCCTTATGTACATTACCCACTTTCTGCTCTAAAACTACAACCTTACCTTCAGAAGTTTACCGAAGCCTGGTCCAGCCCATCAGCACTTCCACCCAGTCACCTGGATCCCCACCAACCTTCTGTCATGGACAACTAGTGTATATGTCGTTACTTGTGAACGTAAATCTTTTCACCATGTTACCCATGGAAAACAACTACTGGCCATTTATAATCTTGGGAAGTTCAGCATGGTTCTTTTGCTTTTTTAAAAAATTTAGCAAATCAGCAGCTACCACCTGGTTGTGAGCGGTGCCGATAAGGACGGAGAAGGACTGTCAGCTCAATGTTCCTGTAGCATTAAAGTGAAAGATGTCAACGATAACTTCCCAGTGCTCAGAGACTCTCAGGTATGCCCACTGGTCCTTGAACAATCATTTTCTACACTTTTCTATTTTCTAAATGAGCATAAATATAAGAATTAAAGAATCATTGTGAAGGTAATACATAATTTTAGAAGTAAAGATTAATACTATTTCAGATAAATGTAATATAGGTAAAATCCAGCACTGAACCTTAAAGTCTCTCCATTTCAGTATTCAGCACGTATTGAGGAAAATTCTTTAAATTCTGAGTTACTCCGATTTCAAGTGACAGATTGGGATGAAGAATACACGGATAATTGGTTGGCTGTATATTTTTTCACCTCTGGAAATGAAGGGAATTGGTTTGAAATTGAAACAGATCCCAGAACCAATGAAGGCATCCTGAAGGTGGTTAAGGTAAGGTCTCAGTTCTTTCATGGGTAAAAATATCCTATAGTAACCAAAACTATCAGTCTACAAATCAAGTTTATTAATAAGACTGCCACTTGACTGTTAAAAAGTTTAGAAAAGACATATAGAGTTTATCGCTCTTATAGCACTGCTATCTAAAGAAAACTCTTAATGGTTTAATTCCTTCCAAGCTACCATACATACCATCACATACACACACACACACACACACACACACACACATATGCACGCACACACACACACACATGCACACACACACTAATGTGCTTGTGTTTGGTGATCTGCCTGCTTTCAGGACAAGAAAGTAAGCATATTTCATACATGAATCCGGTTCTCTGCCTGCAATTGTGCTGGAGTTCAGAAGAAATGGGAATTTGTCAACTTGTTTTTAAATGCATTAGCCATCATCATCACAGAAAGAAATCACTTCCCTAGAAAGTAGGAATGTTAATAAACTCTGATCAAAGCTGAATACTGAGCAAGGCTTCCATTCCACACTCTTCACTAGGTCTTGGTCCCTCCCTCTGGACAATGGTCCGAATGTCCCTCTTGCTTGGCCTGCCCATCACTTCTCCCCTCACTGCCTCCAGTCTACCAGCACACTTTCCTTAAGAAAAAGTTAGATAACTTACTCTTCTCTTTAAAATCTCCCTGGCTCTCTGCTCACAGCACTCCCAGACCTTGTGCAGCTTTTCCTAGGCGGTAGGAATGCAACGTTGGCTCTGTCGTGGCCCACAGCCCTCACAGCACTCCCAGACCTTGTGCAGCTTTTCCTAGGCGGTAGGAATGCAGGAAAGATTGGTGTGACACATCTGTAGGGAAACCCTCACACCAGCAGTCTAAATGTCACCTCCGTGACTCTAACATGCAGTCCAGGTGCATAACCCCCTGATGCCCTCCAGGATGAAGTAGTTCTTCCTCATGATGGTGCCTAAGGCCCTTCAGCATCACCAGCCCACATGTAACACCTACTGCAACACTGGGTGTTTGCAAATGCCTCCTTCCACCTCTCCCTGGATAACTTCACAGCATCTTTCAACACTCAGCTCAGAGTCAAACCTCCCAGCCGGCTTTTCTAACTCTCTCAAGTAGAAATAGCCCCATGCTTCCACACATGCTCTATAACCTCTTTGTCTCTTACCTATCCTAGTCTAATTGCCTGTTTATACATCTCTCTCTCCCATTGGGAAATGTTAAACCCTCAGAATCAGACATTGCAGCTGACATTGAAATCCAGATCTCTTACCTCAAAGTGTATTTTACTGAGAAGTAGATAAAACAAAAATTAGCATTTCCTTAACCTGGAAAAAAAAGACTAGTGAATGAAAAAAAGCTATCCAGGGAATGCTCAGGGCTTGTGTTGGGCCTGCTTAATAGAAATCAAGCAGTTATCAAGCAGGAACATCTGACAGTGATTCTACGAAGAACTGGGTCACCTGCTCACTGCCATGTGAGGCCTTTTTCACCCAAGATGAGCTGGGTGACCTTCAGACCCGCGAATTTTATTTTTTGGAAAAGACAATATTGTACATGAATCCAGTGAATGTTCTGTGAATGGCCGTAGTTGCTATCTATAGGAATGCATTACGGGATTTCATTTGTTCAATTCTCACAACTACCTGAAAAGTAAGGGCTGGGCTGTGGCATAGTGGACAGCAACTTGCCAACCATACACGATGGCCTGGGTTGAATTCCAAGCACTGCAAAAAATAAGTTCATAAAATAAATGTCCATATTCCCTAACATATAGAAGTAAAAAGTTGAGATCAGAGAAGGGTTCTCTCCACTATACCTCACAGCCTAAAGAGTCGATAATGATGTGTTTCTGGTCGATAAGGAGATACTCTGCTTTGTAAATGTGTTACCAAAAATGAGGTCTCCTAAGTTAATAATCCTGAAGTGTCCTCTCTCTCAACACTATGATGCCTTCTGGAACTGCTTCGCTCCGTCATCATAGAAGGTCCCATCCATTCTATATAGAGTTCTTTGTCCATCTCTGGATTTTCCAGATTGTGTTTTTTGTGACAATTCCTTCTATTTCACTCCAGGCTCTAGATTATGAGCAAATGCAAACCATGAAATTTAGTATTGCTGTCAGAAACAAAGCCAAGTTCCATCACTCTGTGATCTCTCAGTATCAAGTGCAGTCAACTCCAGTCACAATTCAAGTCATCAATGTCCATGAAGGAATTTCATTCCATCCTGCTTCCAAGACATTTACTGTGCAAAAAGGCACAAGTATTAACAAATTGATTGGTTATATCTTGGGAACATATCAAGCCACGAACGATGACACCGGTAAAGCAGCCTCATCTGTCAGGTAAGACAACTTTATATAGCTTGTTATTCTTTGGTGTGGTTTTAACCTATAAGCTATTACAACATATTCTCAGTCGATTAGCTGCCAAAACCAGAGACACGAAAGAGATGAAGACATGGAACTGGGCAACTCAAGAAGAGACATTAGAATATTTTATGCTCCGATCAAAAATAACGGATTCATAAGCTAGTGGAAACAAAAAGAGAATTAGCCTGTTGGGAAAGCGTAGGAAGGCTGAGTCTTGCAAAGTTTTCGAGCTCATCATAAGAGCATGCTCCAGATAGGACACGATGACACATTAATCCAAGGGGTATACAAAGTCAATAGCGGCTGAAAAGTGAGATTACCGTGCAGGGTAATCTTTGCAAGGGCAAAGACAAAAGTACCTCACTGCATTTTTCTTACAAGCAGAAAACTGAATAAACAGAAACGTGGAAGGATTATGAAACATGCCCGTCCATGTTGTATTAATTTTCAGACATTCTTTTTAAGTGCACATACATCTTAGATTATATATAAATATGTTGAATGTAAAATGTCATTTTCATTAAATAAATAACATTTTATACGTGCCATTTTTTCTATTATAAAACAGATACGTTCTGGGTCGTAATGATGGCGGTTTGCTCGCTATCGATTCAAAAACTGCTCAAATCAAATTTGTCAAAAACATCGACCGAGATTCTACATTCATAGTGAACAAAACAATCACAGCCGAGGTTCTGGCCATAGATGGTAAGAAAATGTGTGGGGCTTTGAGGGGAATCTTTTTCCCAGTTAGCATTTCTTTGTGAGGATATAGTTGTAATTATTTCATGCATCTCCTTTACCATTGGATAAAGACCATTATCCTAGGGGCTCTGGGCCTCAAATCTGACACACCAGAACCTAAGAGAGCCTGATAATTCCCACCTCTCAGTGGGGTTGGTAGAAACCATGACTGTTTGACCCCTGTGGTTTACTGTGGTTGAGGGAGAAATTGTGTGTGTGTGTGTTTGTGTGTGTGTGTGTTTGCATGAGTGAATATGTTTGTGCACATGTATGCATGTATGTGTGTATATGTGCCCATGCATGCACCAGTGGTTGAGGTCAGATGCTTTTCTTGATCGCTGCCCATCTTATTTTATAAGACAATCTGTAGCTGAACCTGGAGCTCACAGACTGAGCTAGACTGCCCACCAGAAAGCTCAGGGTTCGTCCTGCATCTGCCTCCCCATTTCTGAGATTTCAGGCATATATCACCACACACAGTTTTGTTTTGTTTTGTTAATGTAAGTTCTGGGAAATCAAACTTCAGTCCTCATGCTTGCAGAGCAAGCCTTTGACCAAACCCAGAAGGAGGAAGTTGGATGTGTACTTACACGTGTGAGTGTGTATGTATGTGTGTTTGGTACACTGTGAATGGTGTATGCACACATGCATATATGGGGACCTGTGCCCATGCATGTGTGGAAGCCAGAGGACATCAAATAACCTGCTCTGCCACTTTCTGCCTTAGTCCTTGAGACAGGGTCTCTTACTGAACCTGGAGTAAGGCTGGTAGCTGGCAAGCCCAGAGATGGAGTTACAGCTTTTGGTATACCTGGGTGCTGAGGATCCAAACCTGGGTCATCACATTTGTACATTAAGTGTTCTTACCACTAAACTATCTCCCCAGCTCCAAAAAGAATTTTTTGGCCCACAAAATGCCTGGGTTTAGAGGATCAGTAAAGACTCCTACAGAAAGCTATCAGCAAAGCCCACTTCAAATACAAGGTCCTTTTGTAAGTTACCTGGACAAATTGTTTGTCCTTACACCATTAAACAGTAAGATTTCCTCTTCTGGAATGCTTTAAAATAATATTCATTGGAGATGTGTTTTCCCAAGTATAAAATTAATTTATGTTCAATACAATAAACAAACACCAAAAATAAACATCAAAAAATGTTAACACTTGGGAAAACTGCCCAAAACACTGAGAATAACAAAAATGTCTCATGGTGTAGAAAGAGAAGTCATCACTTTTTTGTTCAGTTTTACCCCAAGTATTTGATTCTCAGCTCTTGCTCTTACAGAAAATACTGGGAAGACTTCCACAGGCACAGTACATGTCGAAGTGCCCAGCTTCAATGAAAACTGCCCATTGGTTGTCCTAGAGAAGGAAGAGATCTGTAGTTCATCACCTTCCGTCGTTGTCTCAGTGAGAACCCTGGAGAGGGGCAGATACACTGGTCCCTACACCGTGTCACTGGAAGAGCAGCCTCTGAAGCTGCCAGCCATGTGGAATGTCAGAACCCTGAATGGTGAGTAAGAATAAACTCACTTTTATAAAGCAAAGCTGTTGCTTCTTTCTACTCCAGAATGAGAACCCGTTTGGCAGCAGGTCCTTTCTAGGGACAGCAGAAGGCATTTCTTTGAAATTGAGATGTGATTCTAATCTCTTCTCTTCTGAAGAGAAAAGGGATGATATGATCTAATTCTGGCATCTTTTACTGTTTTCTGGCCTGGAACTTCCCATGTGTCCTAGGCTGAACTTGAACTCTCAATCCTCTTGCCTCAGCTTTCCAAGTGCTGTGATTATAGGTGTAAGACACCATGAGTGGCTTACTTTTCACTTAATAATGGTGTGTCTGTGTGTGTGTGAGATGTGTGATGTTTGGGATAGAACCCAGGACCCTATGCATGCTAGGCAAGCACTCTACCACTGAGCTACATGCCCAGCCCTAGTAATTTTTGTACTTTTAATGTTTATTTCTACCTCCATAAGAGAAAAAAGATGAGACTCAGGCATCTGTTTAAACAGACAGCTGCCTAGATTTTGCCATGTGCACGCTTTCCTAATGAGGCAGGCTGTGAAGACGCAGCTGCCCAAAGCTTCATGGAGCCACTTCCCATCACTCATCGGGGCCTTGTGAGCACGGTGGGCTGGCACCTGTAAACTCAACCCAACAAGAAAGAGCGAATCCTTTCCCCTAACTTGTTCATTATACATTTCTATGTTTTTCAGAAGCCTCATAAACTTGAAAAAAAATCTCCTTTTCTGGACTGCGTAGTGACCATGAAGCCATTCCACACCCTTTTTAAACTCACTTTCCTCCACTCTTTTCTGTAGCAGTCTTGCTTCCTCTCATGGGTGTGCTCCCTGGCATCCTGGCCAGAAACACCAGAGATCATCCTCTGCATGACCTTATACTCTTGTCCTTTCTTATCCCAGTTAAGGGTCTAGCTCCAAACTTCACATGTACCATTGGTCTCCAAATGGGTTTACCAGATCCAAACATGGTCAGTCAGCTGACAGCTGGGGACATAGTGGTACAGCACATACCTAGCATTCATGAGGTCCTAGAGTCAATCCCTGGGATAGGTGGAGGGGGAAGGAGGAAGGAGAAGAAAGAGGGAGAGGGAGAGAGAGAGAGGGGGACAGGGACAGGGATCAGCAAATTGAATTGTGTTAGGTTGAGCAAGGCATGTGGGTGGCCATGGCACAATGTCAAAGGGCACAGTGAGGTCAAGAATGCTTCAAACAACACAACACTTCCAGGGTTATTTAAGGAACAATACAGAAATGGAGAACTGAGAACACTTGATGCCCAGTTATCTCAGAGGCAATGGGCCCCACCACTGGGACCCCAGTCAACAAGGCCCTCAACTCTTGAGATGAGAAGCAAGAGGCACAGGTGAGGACACTGCAGCTAAAGCTTAAAACTGATCATGTTGATTCAGACATGGGCCCAGAGTTCCTAGACACGGCATAAAGGTGTATATGAGGTCACAGTCGTGTGAGTAGTGTGTGGACATACAGGAGAGTAGATTAGCCCAGGACAGGGTCTGTGTTTGTGTCATGCCCACCTCCCATCCTCTTTAGTGGGAAAAAAAAGATGCGGCCAAGTCTTTCTGGAAGAGAATAATGGGCCTCTATGAGTCAAAAAGACAGTCAAGAAGGGTACCCCAGAGGTGTCCAAACTTTCAGCTTCTCTGAGCCACACTGGATGATTATCTTGGGCTACATAGGGGTGTCTAACCCACAGCCTAAGGGTAGAAAGAACATAAATGCATTTATTTTTCATGACATTGCAACAAGAAGTTGCCATCTAAAAACTTCATGCACAAGAACTGTGCAATCAAATTACAAAAAAAAAAACCACCTCGGGATGTCTTAAGGAAGTTTAGGATTTTATGTTGGGCTGTATCCTTAGCTGTCTTGGGCCACACAGAGCCCACAGGCCATGGGTTAGATACTCCTGGTGGTCAGACTGAGCCAGCTGGAACTCTTACAGCCCTCATCACTGCCCAAACCACAGGTGCCCTCTGTTTGTGACCACAGTCATAAGAGCTGTCTAGCTCTGTTATCAAAATAAGAAGTTTTAAGGGTCCTAGTGTTGATTCGTATGATTGTGTCTCCATAGATACCTCAGCAGTCCTACGGGCCCAGCAACAGGTGTCTCCCGGAGTGTACAGTGTCTCCCTCGTTGTGAAGGACAATCAGGGTGTACAGTGTGACACACCAGAGACTTTGACTCTGACTGTGTGTCAGTGTGACGAAAGGAGCAGGTGCAGAGCCCCCAACCCAAGCAGAGGGCCTTATATCACACACAGGGAGTCATCCTGGAGGCTGGGCCCTGCTGCCATCGGCTTGATCCTGCTGGGACTTCTGCTGTTGCTGTGTGAGTACTCCAAAGCTGGGGGAAACGGCAAGAAGAATCTGAAACGTGCTTAGCTCATCACTTACTGACAATTTGAATAGAGCCAAACAAGTCATGTATTTAGCAAACGTTTAGAAAACAGAACCACAAGGGCTAGGGAGATGGGAAAAGTTTGCATAAACGCCCACATAGAAAGCCAGGTGCAGTGGCACATGCTTAAATCCCAGCCCTAGTAAGATGGGAGACAGAGACAGGCAGATCCATAGAGCTCGCTGGCCAGTAGAAGACAGGTGTACGAGCAATGAGAGCCAAGGTGGTCCTCTGACCTCCATAAGTACACATGCAGATGCATGCTCACACTCACACTCCAGAGAGAGAGAGAGAGAGAGAAAGAGAGAGAGAGAGAGAGAGAGAGAGAGAGAGAGAGAGAGAGAGAGACTAGTACCACAAGAAAAAGAAAAAGAAAACTAACAATAACCTACATTCTGTCAGGGCTAGAGGGATGGCTCAGAGGTCAAGAGCACTGGCTGGTCTTCCATAGGACCTGGGTTTGATTCCTAGCACCATTCCATGGCAGCTAACAACCATCTGTAACTCCAGTTCCAGGGGATCTGATGCCCTCTCTGACCTCCAAGGTCATGGGTGCATTTACATACATGCAAGCAAAACACTCATACACGTAAAACAAAAATTAATTAGTTTAAAAAATGATCTATACTCTGTCAATAATGTTCATAGTTAAAATGATGTCTTTATCCATGAGTGAGCTACTTTCTAAAATGTCTTCTCCACATTTAAGTCTCATGAGATTCTAAAACAAAAAGAACCCTGATCAAACAACTTGGAGAGGTCATCTAGGATCACATGGGCTTTCAGATCCACATGAACAGAACTTGGGCTCTGAGAACTTACTATTTAATTTGGCATATCCCCCAAACAGAGCTTACCCCTCCATATATGTCCCTTAAAAAAATGCTCACACCTAATAGTATTAAGTTTTCTGAAGACATGCATTATCCTTCAATAAAAGTACATTTTATTTTACCCAGTAGATGTTTCTGGAAAATTGCATTTGACTCAGAAATCTCATTAACCAAGTGTAGTTTGAATGTGAGAGTTCTCTACATAAAAGAAACTTAAAGGGAGTTATATAAACAAGAGGTCCTAAATAAATTCATAGTAATTCCCCAGTTTATTATACACTATTAAGGTTAAAACACATTTTAATGGTGATATATCCTACTTCAACCATCTTTAGAAATCACATTTGGTGGCTAGAGAGATGGCTTGGCAATTCAGAGCTGATGCTGTTCTTTCAGAGTTGGTTCCTGGCATCTACATCGGGCGGTTCACAACTGCCTGTAACTCCAGGTTCAGGAGATCTAATGTCCTCTTCTGGCCTCTGCAGATACTGTACTCACTTTCACAGACACACAGACACAAACACGTACACATAATTGAAATTAAAATAAAATATTTAAAAAAAAATACAAAGAAAGGTCATCTATATGAGCAACGTTTTGAATTTCAAGGTACTGTATAAATTATGGCCGATCTATTTTGTAACTTGACCTAACTTTTTCCATACTAATACAGGACTGACCTAATTTGCATAATTAGTATAGTTCCTCCTAACAATACTAGCAAGTCTTCATGGCATTGGTTATACTCCTTTTCCTCTATCAACTCACTAACTCCTCATGACAACCAGCTGAAGATACTATTTACTCCCTGATTGAGTGGATGAGTTAGCTGACCAGAGAAAGATTATATAACATGCCCAGGGTCACATAGCTGGCAAGTGGTATAGCCAAAACCCTAGAAGTCTGATTCTAGAGGCTGTGTTCCTAACCTATCACTAAAGCAACTTCTAAGAGAACAGTTCAAACATTAGGGTTCGTGAGGCCTTAACAGGCCAGAGGTGGAGATGAGACATTGAAAATCGACTACAAAGAATCACCTGCTTTTAAGAATGAGTATTTTATTCCAGTAGCAGAAAAACTACATTTGTCTTTATTGTCAGGAATGCACAGAAAGAATGGTAGAATGGCTGGAAGACCCTCCAAACAAGGGGCTCTTGGGTCACCACTAAGAGTACATTGATAGGGAATGGAGAGATGGCTCAGCAGTTAAGAGCACTGAGTACTCTTGCAGAGGACACAGGTTTGATTCCCAGCACACACATGGCAATTGCCAACTGTCCATAACTCCAGTTCCAGGGGATCTGATGCCCTCTACTGATCTCCCTGGGCATTGCATGACAAGGGTGCACTTACATGCATGCAGACAATATACTCATACACATAAAAAAAATAGTACATTGATAGGGGATTGGGAGGTGATTCTGTGGGTAAGAGTACTTACTTGCTCTACAAGCATGAGTACCTGAGTCTGAATCCTCAACACCTATGTGAAAAACAGTCAGGCATGAGTACCTGTGACCGTAGCACTGAGGGGCAGAGACAGATGGACCTTAGAGCTCACTGGTCACCCAGCCTCAACAAACAGGGAGCTTAGAGCTCAGTGAAAGACCCTGTCTCAAGCTAATAAGACAGAAATCAATGGAAGACACCAAATATCCTGGCCTGTATAAGTACATACATGGACGTGTGTACACACATACTCACATGTATGCAACATACACACACACACACACACACACACACACACACATACACAGCACATTGTTAGCCATTGACTAGGCCATCTCTAGTTATCTCTGGCTTTGGTTGAGCAACTACTATTTACTAAGAAAGTCCTGAAGACCAAATTATTGAAATATTATCAATAGCCACCTAAAATCTTGCCAAAAGGTATCAAAGATGTACGCAGAAAAACAGAGACAGAGACAGAGATTCTTCCTGTACAAATTAATTCAATAGTAATGAAATGTATTCAGGAAAGGAATCAAAGAAGTGATCAACCCCTCCAGTCAATGCCCTGACCCCTTCAGTTCTTAATCATATGAAAATTTTTGCACTTCATTTACTAAATTTTATTTTGTGGGCATTTTGCCTTTTATTAGCAATATTCCTTAAGAATTTATTGTTTTGCCTTTGTAACAGTTTTGACAGTTTTGCCAAATTGCTTCCCACTGATTCAAACCTTCTACTGTTTCTTTGTTTCCCCCAGTGGCTCCCCTTCTGCTGTTGACCTGTGACTGTGGGACAGGTCCCATCGGAGGGGTGACAAGTGGTTTCATCCCAGTGCCTGATGGTTCAGAGGGAACAATCCATCAGTGGGGAATCGAAGGAGCCCAGCCTGAAGACAAGGTGGGCATCTTGTTTATAAAATATTGTATTAGTTACTGTCCTGTTGCTGTGATAAAACACCATGGCCATGGCAACTTATGGAGGAAAGAGTTTATTTGGACTTATGGTTCCAAAGGGATGGGTCCAAAATGGTGAAGAGGCCTGGCAGCAGGCAGGCATGATAACAGCAGCAGGACACTCAGCGCTCATACTTTGAACCACCAACATGAAGCAGAGAAAGCAAACTGGAAATGGAACGAGGCTATGAACTCTCAAAGCTCACCCCAGTGAGACACTTCCTTCAGCAAGGCTGTGCCTCCTAAACATCCCAAAACAGCAACCAGGGACCAGTTGTTCAAAGACATGAGCCCATGCGGAGCATTTCTCAAACTACCACAAGTGTTATTGCAGTCACGTGGGGGGAGAGGGTTTGAGTCAAACTGAGATGGGACAATGGGTAGTGGGTATAAAGAGATACTTTGCCGCCAGGTGGAGAACCGAGGCTGTAGTGGATGGAGCCATTCAGGACTGAAGCTTTACAAAAATCAGATCCTAAAAGTAGCCATGTCTAGAAGAATTTGTGCTTCTTGTAATGAAGCATTTGCAAAGGGCCACATTTCATTTGTACTGCTCTGAATCATGACTCGTTTTTAAATATACTTATTTTTTCAATATAATTTGCAGGAAATCACAAATATCTGTGTTCCACCTATAACAACCAATGGAGCAGATTTCATGGAAAGTTCTGGTAAGCAAACATAAAATTTACTTTTTATTTATTTGTTTATTTATTTATTGGTCCTGGACATTGAACCCAGGGCCTCCTTCATGCTAGGCAAGTATTCTGCCACAGAGCCATACCATAGCCCTTTGGCACTTCCTACTTTTGATACAGTCTCACTAATTTGCTCAGGCAGGCCCTAAACTTGATATTCTCCTACCTCAGTCTCTCAAAAGGCTGGGGTCATAGGTCTGCATCACCAGGCCCAGCTTAAAATTTATCTTTGAAAGCAAGGATGGGTTAAAGGAGAACTGAAAATGAGACATGGTCAAAATGGTGTCATCAGTCATCTTGTATGTGTGTGTGTTTAAGGGGAGCTATCCCCACTGAGGTAAGGACAGAGCAGTTCTAATGTTGGTGTATTCATCACTTCTAGAAACTGGCCTGGCCTCGGTGAATTAATTTATTCACTGATGTTAGTATAGCTCTTGGGTAATTGCTAATTTTTTTAGAAGTATAAAATGTATTTAAAACCACACACAAAGTTCTGTGTAATCAGGAATGATACAGTTTGTAATAACTTCGTTTTTAAAAAAACTCATGATAAAAATTTAAAATATATTTTCAATTACAGTATTCATTCAGCCTTATTCAGTTAGAAAATTTTTTAAAGAATTTTTTATGCTCTAAACAAATGAGACACACAAGGAAAATATAATAGACAATTTTCACAACTATCTTTACATTTATATTTCAATACTATTACATTTCAATGCATTTTGGATTCTAAGATTCTCTCTCTCCCTGCTACATGGTGAAGTGCTTTCCTTAATTGTTTCCCTTGTATGTGAAAAACTAAATCAAATATTTGGTGGAATTTAAGAAGCATTTCCTAATTTTTTGAATAAATGAGATAGGATGTCAACAGGTAAGAAAGGTAATTTAAAAAATAATAATAATAAATACATTCCAAAGAAGAGCCAGCCAAAGACCAAAAGTATGAACTTAGGAAGTTGATATTTCTCATACTTCTGTTCTTCACCTGGAAAACTGGTGAATATTTTACATATCCAATGATTCCTATAAAACAAACTATTGATAGGTATGTAAATTTATGAGGCAGATAAATACATAAGAAAAGAACCAAGCAGAATTCATGCTGATCTTTCTCTCTGCCATGTAATCTTACAGTGTTCTCTTTAGGGAACACTTAATAATAGTCTAGTATCCCAAATAAGACCATTTGCCCACACACCACAATGGAAAAGCTGCCCTTAGTTTTCACTATAAAACTATTTCTGGAAAAAAATTTCTCTTAAAGCACCTATCACAATGTTAACTCCATAAAAGCTAAAAAATATATAACCATACATTGCAATAAAAATATTTAATCTTTCTTAAGAGCTGTTTTTTTATTTGAATATAGTCAGCTACTTTATCACAGCACAAATATGTACTGGTGAGGGTATGAACTTGCTATGTGCACCAAAGTCATCAGGAGGGGTCTCATCGAATATTCAAGGTAATTTGGCCTGTTTACCCCTTTTCATGTGGCCCCAAATATATTTGAGATATTCAAAATAAACTGCTTCTATACATAGGCTTGTAAAATAACCTAAGTAGATCACTAAAATCTTTACAGATACATCTTAGTATGCTTCCCAATCCTCTATGCAAAGGTAGTTTTCCAATGATTTTTTTCTTTTTTGTGGCTACAAAGCAGAACTAAACAAACAAACAAAAAATCAAGAGAAATCACATAATCTAGAGACTCTAATAATTCTGTATATTTACCTTGAAGGACTGGGAACTGACACTGATTACCCAGCACCAGTTCCCTCAAGAAGCCTTCACATCAATAGATTTAAAAATACTAAACTCTGATTGTGAGGGGCTGACCTCAGCCATTTGAAATTATCTGAATGAAGAATATAGTCTTGTAATAGTAAAGGGATAATATTCTCTACACATTTTGCTTGGTTTTGTTTGGCTGGCCTCAAACTCGGAGCATCAGGCTGGTCTTTGGAAACTATTTCACAAGTCTAGAAAAATGTAAAAAGCATGTGTGAATCCACCACCCAACTCTGCCTATTGCTAACATGGGTCATATTTGTGGTAGGAGTCTCAGGCGTGCACATCCTGGATTCTGTTGTTCTTTCCCATGTAACCAGACAAACCATGTTCTGACTTGAATTCAATTACTGTTTCCATTCGGTAACAATGAGGCATGAAGTTTGATGCTGTCTTTTAAGAGAATTTTGTTGGCTTTACCAAGTGATGATTTTATTCATGCTATCTCACTGCCACAGGCACCCTGTAAACTAGGGGAGCAGTAAGATCTGGGGCTCACAGCAAAGGTTTTCTTAATTTTATGCTTAGCAAGAGATTGTCTTTAAGTATCCAGCTTACACAATCTGCAGGAGATATCTCCAACTAAGTAACAGCTTTTATCAGCTTCTCTCAACATCACTTGCTTCTCCCATTAGGATTATATAGCAAAAACAATATTCAGAATTATCTATAAAATAACAACCCATGATGGGCTGAAGCAATGACTCAGTGGTTAAGAACACTTGCTGTGTTTAAGAGGACCACAGTTCAGCTCCCAGCACCCATGTCAGGTGGTTCACAATGGCCTAGAACCCCAGCTACAGGGGATCCAGCACCCCATTCCGGCTTCCATGGGCATACTCAGACACAGATATGCATACATACACAGAGATAAAAATATTTTTCAATAACCCATGAAAGTATACTATAGAAGAAACAGGAAAACAATCATAATTCTTTAAATTTTCTTTGGACACCAAGATACTGAGTTACAGTCTACTGCTTTGCATGGCTGCATTCTAGAGGCTTCCTCTTCAGTTCTCATACCCAAGTATGACAGCTTGATGGCAGTTTTCTTGTACCTGAGGACACACAAGCCCTGCCTCAGACACCTTCACAGCTGTGAGCTCCCTATTCTGATTTTCACTTCGGACTACTGCCACTGAAACCATAACCCCCTCCTACTCTTTTCTTCTGGCATGTGTTCAGAGCTCTTGTGCCTGCACATGTCCCTCGTCTGTTCCTCTGACACTCTCTGAGACACTATTATCTCAGTCTCCTCACTGGGTTGTCCCTCACTTCATTGCTGTACATGACAACTGTTAATGAGCATTCAAGCTAAAAAGAACTTTAGGAGTGGAGGAGATGGCTCAGTTGGTAAAGTGCTTGCCATGTAAGCTTGAAGATATGAGTTCTATCCTCACAGCCCATGTAGAAAAGCCGAGCATGGTGGCAGATGCTTGCAATCACAGTGCGGAGGTGGAGGTGGAGTGGGGGGGAGATTCCACCTGGGACTCATGAGTCAGCCAGCCTAGCTGAATCTGCAAGTTTCAGGCTAGTAAGAGGCCCTGACCCAAAATAAAACAAGATGCATGGTGTCCTAAGGAATGAGAGTCAAGGTTGACTTCTGCACATATGCACACACATGAACATATGCACACACAGGAACATAAACACACATATACACACATGCATACACACACACGCATATACACACATGCATACACACACACACGCACACACACACACACACACACGGATTTTTTAAAGCTCGCTGCATGAAATTTAAGAAAATCCCCCCTCTGTCTTCAGAAGTCTGTACAAATACGTATGCAGGAGGGACAGTGGTGGAAGGCGCTTCGGGAATGGAGATGACCACCAAGCTGGGAGCAGCCGCTGGATCGGGAGCTGCTGCGGCTCTTGGCATCTGCTCCTTGGGGCATTCGGGAACGATGAGAACGAGGCATTCCACCGGAGGCACCTTGAAGAACTATGTCACTGGACCAGTGAACATGGGCTTCCTGGATTCATACTTCTCTCAAGTAAGTAGGTGGTAAACTGCTAGGCTTTGTTATCTTACTGATGGAAGAGATCTGGTTAATCGATTATATACTTCAGTGTTGTTTTGTTTTGTTTGAGACAGCATCTCCCTGTAGCCACACCTGGCCTGGAACTCACTGTGTAGATGAGGCTAACTTCAGTCTCACAGAGAATCACCTGCCTCTGCCTCCCAAGTGCTGAGATTAAAGGTGTGTGCCACCACGCCTGGCTTGTGACTCATTCTTCAGCTTGTTAAGTGTAGGGAAAGAAGTTTCCTCTTGTCAAAATAATAAAGATAATTTTGATAGCTGTCAAAATTGAGTCAGTAGTTGAAAATGTATGTGCCAAGTCCAACAAGGACTAAGTGGATGCAAAGTTCCTAATTAGGGTGAGAATTGTCTCACAGGACGCCTAATGGGAGAGCTCCCGCACCCTGACCCCAACACAAAGATTAAATACAGCCCAGCGATAACCTCCAAGTATCATATACAGCCGCTATGGAGACCAAAATCCATATATAATCAAGAACTAAAATGCAGCTTACGCTACACATATTTTGATGGAATGTCAACCATATTGTCAAATCCCACATATTAGAACAAGATTGTTAGTATAAAGTGTTTCCTGAAGCCAGACTCAGCAACACAAATATCACATGCTTTTTCTAATATGTGGAATTTGGATTTAATTTTATAAGACATGAAATTAGAAGGGGGACTTCTGGGTAGGGAAGGGGATCATGGGAGAGGAGGCGGGTCAAGAGAGGAGAAACATGGGCGAGGGGAGGAGGGTCAAGAGAGGATAATAGGCAGGAAAAAACCCTATCTCATTGGTCATTGAGGTGGCTCACTGGGTAAAGGCACTGGCCACCAAGCCTGCTGACCCAAGTTCGATCTCTGGGACCCACGTGGTGGAAGGAGACAACCGACTCTCATAAGTTGTTCTCTGAGCTCCACTCACACACGGTGACACATGCCCCCTCCACACACAGTAAATAAGCAAAATGTGAGGGGAAAAAAGGAAGAGAGAGAAAGAAATGGAAAGAAAAGAAAAAAAAACGGGAGGGAGGGAGGGAGCGAGCGAGCGAGCGAGCCAGGTGTGAGAGCGAACACCTTTAATCCTAACACTAGGGAGGCAAAAGCAAGGGGATCTCTGTGACTTTGAGGCCAGCCTGGTCTGTGTGGTGAGTTCCAGGCCAGTCAGAGCTACACAGTTCTCAAAAAATAGCATGAATGTGGTGTATATAAATTCACTCGGGCACACACACATAAATAAATAAATAACAAATATTTAAAGAAGAAACCTGTGTTTTCTCTCAAGTGCAAGAGCTATTTTTAACTCTGTGTGTGTGTGTGTATGTGTGTGTGTATGTTGTATATGTGTGCCTCCAAGAAGGCCATCAAAGGGCATTGGATCCCCTGGAGCTGGAGTTACAGGCAGCTGTGAGCTGCTTGATATAGGTACTGGGAACCAAATCTAGTTCTCTGCAAGAGCAGCAAGGGCTCTTAACTACTGAGCCATTTCTCCATCCCCAATGATTAGTTTTTAATTGTCAATGTGCCACAACCTAGAATTACCTGAGAAGAGAGCTTCAGTTGGGGAATTGTCTAGATCAGGTTGGTCTGTGAGCAGGGCTGTGGGGCGATTGTCTTGATCGCTAACTGCAGTAGGAAGACCCAGCCCACTGTGAGTGGCACTATTCCCTAGGCAGGAGTCCTGAACTATATAGGACAGGAGAAAGCCAGTGAGCATAAGCTGTTAGCAAGGAGCAGCATGGGTGCCTTTGTTCCGCTCAGCTCTTGACTGTGAGTGTGATGTGACTCACAGTTTGAATTCTGACCTTAATTACCTCAGGTGGTGGGCTGTAACTTAGAATAAGTCAAATAAATCCCTTCCTCTTCTTATGTTGCTTTTAGTCAGTCATTTTATCACAGCTACAGAAATGACATTGGGATAGTACCTGTTTTTAAAAATCCTCCAGAAAGGATGCAAGTTCCTGCAGATGGTGAATCACTACCCTGGGCCTTCAACTTTTAGCTTCTCACCACAGGGGTAGTATGTCTTGCAGTCCCTAAGCGTGGAATGCTGTCTGCCCAGGAACGAGTCCTTTCATTTTCACAGCTCAGAGCTTTCTGTCAGCCTCAGAGCCATCTTGGCCTCCTTTGGCTTAAGTCTTAGGCAGGTTCTGGTATCACACAAGTTCTTTACTTCGATAGCTGTATGTTGACAATCAGACCCCAGAGCCCACCTCCATGCTGGGCCCTTGCTTTTCTCCTAGAAACTCCTCTGGTGCATCTTGAACACACAGGCGTGTGTGATGAAAGCTCAGAGAAGCCTTTGGGGAAAAGAGACAGTCCTGGCTGGACAGGAGCTGAGAGTAAAAGGAAGGGGCTGGATATGAGAACCATCCGGGAGAGACGTCTGGAAGGGTCATAATTCAGCCTATCATTTTGAACACTAAAAAAATAATAACAATAAATAAAAACACTTTTGCTGGGCAGAAAAAAAAAGAAAACAGGAAGAGAATTTCCTTACTCCTGTGGAGGGTAGTTCGGGCGTTCATACTCAACCCCTGGGTTTAAGAACAGGACCTGATGGTCTGATAATCCTTGTAAGACCGGCTTCTCCACTTTTCATCTTTAGAAAGCATTTGCCTGTGCGGAGGAGGAGGAAGAGCAGGATACAACCGACTGTTTGCTGATCTACGATGACGAAGGCAGGGATGAGGCCTCCTGTTCTATGGATGACATCAGCTCTTGCAGCTTCATTGATGACGACCTGGATGACAATTTCCTGGACTCACTTGGCCCCAAATTTAAAAAGCTTGCAGAGATATGTCTCAGGATCAATGACGAAACCCAGCCAGCTCAGGCAGCCTCTAGAGACAGTGGTCCTGGGGCTGAAGCCTGCTCCATGGAAGTCCCCCTGTCAGGGCCTAACAGGAGCCAGACTTTGCCTGGCAGTCAAGGTGTTTCTGGGCCTGTCCAGTCTGGGTCTGTCCACCCCACCATTGTGATCCCCGACCCTCTACAGCATGATAACTACACACTCACAGAGACTTACGCAGCTTCTGGTACCTTTGTGCAACCCACCACTGCAGCTTTTGATCCACGTCTCACCCAGAATGTCACAGTGACAGAGAGGGTGATCTGCCCCCTCCCTAGTGTTCCTGGCAGCACAGCTCTTCCCACAGAGCTGCGAGGTTCATACAGCATGCTCTACACAAAGGAGCTTTGTTCCCATCTCTGACCAAAACAAACTTGAACATACTGATAGAAGTTGGGTATTTTACGCAACTATATTTTTAAGTCTAGCAAACCTCCTAGTATTGGGCTAAGTTGGCACTTACTGAATATGCTGAAAACTGATCATGCTGATAATCCAAATCTTGTGGTTCACACCCTCAAAGTGGGCACTTTGTCATTTCTAATTCTCTAACATCTTTCAAGCTGTATCAAACCTGAATGTTTTGAAAAACAATCCTAAGATGACATTAGGTAGGGAACTCTCCTAAGCATTTTTACGTTTGTGTATTATCAGTGCCACAGGGAGGCATTTGTCAACTTAAAATACAACATGGGTTAGTGGATTAGGTTCTCGGAGTCAAGAGTCCAGGGTCTTGCCTCTGTCACCTCTTCTGGTATCATTAATAATGATATGAGAGTAGTATTAATAATCAAAGGACTTCAGAGATATCTGATGAAGCCTTCTGAGCTTTTGGAACAAAGAAAATGATGGCACTTGAGTTTTTGTCTTCTTGGTGAGGGGACTATATTTCTTGTACAAGCCAAGGGCTGTGGGCTCATGAGTTAAGCATGTGTGTGTTCATATAAGACTGTTTGGAAATACAAATATAGAACATGTTAGAAAGTTTAGCATGTTGTAGATAATAGTGTATATATGTGTTAAGCACTTTGAAAGGATCTATTCAAAGAGAATACGTTGAACTCCCTCCTACACGCTTCTCTGGAGCAAATCTTGTGTTGGTCTTTTAAAATGAGTCCTTGTTTTTTAAGTGCCACCATGTAGAAATAACTTACATAAGACATACAGTGAGGTTTATTATATTAACAATGTCTAACAGACTTTGTGGGAATAGAAAGCACAGCTTTTCTTATAAGCAAAGGGGGCTGTGAACTAAAGTAGTATCATCAGCTCATGGTGAAATTTGTGAACATATGTCATTTCAGGAAAATGGTTGATGAAATAATTTTTGAGTGAGAAAGGATATGGGAATGGGATTGTATGTAATCCCCATTTTAACCCTATTTCTAAATTGAACTGCTATAGCAACTTAGGGCTGGGTATAAGGACATTGGATGAGGGAGCATTTAGGATATATTTCATGCATGTTACACTAACAGGAATGCAGTTCTTCAAGTTATTTCTGGTCATTCGAGATATCCAGCCTTCAGCCCACAAAGAACACCCTACCTCACCAGCTTCTCAACATTACTATCAAGCTGAGTCTTTACATGGTTATTTTCCAGCTCATTTCTTTCTAATTGTATATAAAATTGGCTTTTTCATTTTCCTTTGAGGTTTTTGCTGTTGTTGTTGCTTTTGATTTAGTTGGTTTATTTGTTTTGTTTTGGAGACAGGGTCTTGCTGTATCTCAGGCTGACCTGGAACTTAGTATATAGTCCATGCTAGCCTTGAACTTGTGATTCTCCTGCCTCAGCCTCCCGAGTACTGGGATTATAGGCATGAGCCACCACACTCAGCTGATTTTTTGGCATAATAAAAAAAAATATGTTTTCCAAATACACTGAAAACTAACCAATTATATTTTAACCCAGAAAGTGCAATCTTAAAGATACCTAGTAGAACTCTGATACCTACATGTCACTGTCCCTTGCTCTGGTCTCTTTTGCTAGCACAGTGACTACCAGGAAGGTATGTACTAGGATAGCTCAAGAAGTCTGGGCAGCTTGAGCTTCCAAGACAAGGCTTTCAGTATGCTCATGTTAGAGTGAGAGGACCCTGACCCAAGGAACAGCTTGCTGGTGCTGAGAACTCCCCCCACTATGGCCGCTGGCTCCTCTTGTTCCTCCACCGCAGCTCGGTCTGGGTTCAGAGCTCACACACTGAGCCCTGCTTCTGCTCATTCATGAGGGTCAGTGTAATAGTCAGAATGGCCTTCATTTAACGGGCAAAGGTATACTCAGTCTCCTGAAGCATTTTAACTTTGCCTCTTAAAACCCAACTTAAGAAATGGGAATTTGGAGATTTGGAGTCACACATGGTAGCATGCACCTATAACCCCCATGCTTGGGAGATAAAGACAGGAGGATCAGAAGCCTGAAGTCATCCTCTACTACGTAGCTCAGTCGAGGCCAGCCTGGCTATGAGACCCAGTCTCAAAGGAACAAACGCATTAAAAAATAAAATTAAATTTTAAAAAAAACTCAAGAAATAGGAATTTGGCTATAACCTTTGTGAAACCAGGTCACAGTGGCTTACATAGGTGAAAACTTAAAAGTGTTTTTAGAATGTGTTTTTAAATTTTAAATTTTATTGGTCTTTAGACTGACCAAGAACTCGTTTGGTTTGTAAAGAGTGTATCTGCATTTTTTATTAAAAATAAACATTGTTTTTAGCAGAAAAATTAACTGTCCTTTGACTTTATATATTATACATTTTAAATAATATATATTAAAATACAAGTAGAGGGGCCAGCAACATGGCTCAGTGGGTAAAGGCACTTGCCACCAGTCCTGACAACCTGAGTTTGATTCCTAGGACCCACATAATAGAGGGAAAAAACAAACTCCTGAAAATTGTCACCTGACCTCCATATATGCACTGGGGCACTGTACCTCCCCATAAGCACTATCAATCAATCAATAGTGTGATATTGTTATAATAAAACTGTCAGCAAACCTATGAGCACTTCCTCAATCATTTGGTGAAAGTTAGTCTCTCCATAATGGTTATTAAGAAATATGATGCAAAAGTGACAGGTGCATAAATCTTTTAACATTATTGTCCTTTTTGCCCTGGCTTTTTTCCCCCTGAATTCTCCCAGGCAGGAAAAATTGGGAGGCAGAAGGATCTATCTAAGGCACTGGGATTGCTTTAGGCAGATGAGGTACTGAAAGACTTCAGTAACTGGATGCTTCCAATCTCTTCAGTGTGTTGACTGGTTTGGAATAATCCCCCAGGCAAAACCTATAGCAGTCTAAGAAAACTTGGACAGAAAAGATGGAGTAAACTGAAGGTAACTTTGCAGTATGTCATGACAAAAACCTATGCAATGGCCCAGGTAAGAGGCGCCTACCCTTGTGGTGGCTTTGTCCTTAAATAAATGCTGCGCCCTTATGTCTCCTTCTAAGAGATGCCACAAAACATTGGAGCTTGGTTCTAGCTGATCTTGCTTCTTCTTAAATCTGGACAACAAGGCTTAGATGCAGATTTATAGAGAAGAACAACTGAATAAAACTGGCCATTGGGTGAAGAATGACAGATGACTTGCCTTGAACATTCTGAATCCATTCCAGAAAAGTAAAAATCATGTAGGGACATTATAAAAATATTACCGGTTTCTATTCATACTAAGTTAAAGGAATGATGAATTTGGGTCTAGGAGATGGCTCAATTCATAAAATGCTTCTGCTATGAGGACCTGAGTTCAATCCCCCAGAACCCAGAAGAAAAGCCAGCGTGGTGGTATGTGTGTATATCCAGCCCTGGGGGAGGATAACAGGTGGATCCCTGGGGCTCTGCCAGTCAGCCTCCCCTTATCAGTGAGCTCCAGGTCAATGTAGAGCCCCTATCTCAAAAAACAAGGAGGATGCACCTGAGAATCAACACCTGAGGTTGAGTCCTGGTCTCCAACACACATGCACATATACCCACACTGAATGAATACTTACATGAATACTTACATGCACATGTACCTGAAAACACATGAATACACTCACATATACAAAAATACACACAAAAACCAAAATAGGCAATATTGATTTATCTTAATTGAGGGACCTCAAAGATCAAATCAGAGTGTGAAAGGAGCACATTCAACTGTCTAGGAAACAATTTCAAGTTCAACTCATCATTGGCAATCCTGTGCTTTCTCAGATCTTTGCAGGGTCTACAAAGAGGAATTCTGAATCAGAGATTATATGATTTAATACTCATTCAAGAACATAGTCTGAGATGGTTTATAGGAGAGGTGTTAACTAATAAAAAGAGAAGACAAACAATCATTTAAATCCCGGGTACCAGAATCCACACACAGGATTTTCTCCATGAATCCTGAAGCTCTTTCTGATTTGCCTCCTTCTCAGTGGGCTGAGATTCCTCTGTGGTCAAGAGGTCAGCCTCGCCCAGGGTTGTGTCCTTACTTTCTCTTTCATTAATAAGTTCACTTTTTGCTACCAATATAAAACAAAGAAATGTAGATATATTGTTGATAGAGTTAAAACTTAAGACAGTTGCATATTTTAAAAGTATGAGATGGTTGCAGTTACCAAAATAAAAAGGAGCTTTCGATAAGGGTTACCATGCGACTGGGAGAGTTCCAAACTCTAAATTATTACAGTGAACCTTCGACCATGGTCACAAAAACAGACTTGGAAAAACAATCTCTTCCAGGTTACACAATAAAGTAGAACAAATATAAAAGTCTACCTCTGGTCACCTAGCTGTGGTAACAACTACTCAGAATAATTTCCTCACCTCTGCGTCTAAGACTTGAACAATAGGTGAATGTAGAGAAAACTGTGGCAGTTGTTAAAATGGATTAGCATTATAGACATGGATCCCAATATTAAAGCATCCAGACCTAGTGGCACAGATCTGTAAATTCGGCCGCTCCAGAGGCTGAGGCCGGACAAATGGAAGTTCAAAGCCAGCGTGGGCAACTTAGTGAGACTCTGTCTCAAAAAAAAAAAAAAAAAAAAAAAAAAAAGTAGAAAGAGGGCTGGGGGTGTAGTTCAGTGGTAGAGCTCTGGCTAGACCTATGAGGCCCTAGGCTCAATCACAAGTACTGAAAAGGAAATGTTTTAAAGTGTGGGGCATAGTGGCTCACATCCATAACCCCAGCACTCAGAAGTCTAAAGCAAGAAAATAGCAATGGTTTTTGGGCCAGCTTGGGCTATATATCATGACCCTTTATCAAGTACACTCATACACAGATTCATGCATGTGCACATGCACATAGTGTAACATAAGCAAAAATAGGTGATAGGTGGTAGAGATAGATGATAGATCGATAGATGATAGATGATAGATGGTGATAGATGATA